ACTCATTTGTGAAGTAGGATGTACACAAGGTCAACAGTTCAACCTCACATTGGGTGAGAGCAGTCCATGTACCAGAAACACCTGAATTCCACTAGTGTCATGTCATGATTCAGAATTTTAAATTCTGGAAATTGTTGATGTTTTTTGAATTTAGCTGTCCATTCTTCTTGGCTATGTGTTTGTGTGTGTGTGTGTGGCTTCATCTCAGCATCCTGTTCTTCTCCATATCCTTCTATTAGTTGCTACCCACAAATTGAGAACCACTGATCTAAAATACCCTGGGCGAGTCATTCTATCGCTGCATGTGAAGCAGGGCATTGGGGTGCTGAATTGAAAAGGTCAGCCAAGGTCACAGGGCACTCCCAATGAAGACAATGGCAAGCATAGCATGTGATGTTTAAATTATGAATGGGCAGATATGTTGGCATCACACACAGAGAGAAGAGAAAATGTGTCTCATGTGAAGCCCAGAGATCCCTGGAGCCCAACTGGGAGACAGAAATGGACGCAGAGGGTAGAGCCACCAGACCCAAGTTTTCATGGCATTTGAGGCTTGGAAGTGAATGTTGGACCTGAGAGCCTGCTCTCTGAGGGCAGTGGCAGTGTCTCTGTTGAACCCACTAGTCTTGACTGTGAGGCGAAGCTTGCTCGTTAGACCTGGCCTCTAATGGGCGTTCAGAGAGTGGGCTCAGTCAGGACCAGCGGAAAATGCAAAAGCTTTGTCATCAACTGCTATTTGTTTCTCTTCAGTCCTTCAGGCTCCTCCTCTTCCTGCCTCCCAGATGTCAGTCAGCCTGAGGCCAACTCTAGTGAGCATATAGTTAGTCCCCAGTTTGTACCCCCATCTCCCCACTGTGCCCCAGTACCCTGAGGCATGGTAGGATTGGACAGGCACACGGTTGGAGTCAGGAACTCAGCTGGATCTCCTGTGTCCCTGTAACCTGCCTATCAGCTCCCTGGACCATAGCGGTCAGGTTCCACAGAGGGATTGCCTGGTGTCCATGATGGAGTTATGGAGGACACACTTATGAGTATTTTAGTTGTAAGAAGTTACAGAGGGACAGCCTCTGAACCTTGTCTGTCTGAAACAAGGTTGTGGTGGCATTGTGTTCCCCAAAATATTGTGCACGCTAATAAACTTATCTGGGGTCAGAGAACAGGATGGCCACAATATTAAACATAGAGGATAGGCAGTGGTAGCACACGCCTTTAATCCTAGCATTCCAGAGGCAGAAATCCCTCTGGATCTCTGAGAGTTCAAGGCCACATTGGAAACAGCCAGGCATGGTGACACACGCCTTTAATCCCAGGAAGTGAGCCTTTAATCCCAGGGAGTGATGGCAGAAAGTAAAAAGATATATAAGGCGTGAGGACCAGAAACTAGAAGCATTTGGCTGGTTAAGGTTTCAGGCTTTGAGCAGCACAGTTCAGCTGAGACCCATTCGGATGAGGACTCAGAGACTTCCAGTCTGAGGAAACAGAATCACCTGAGGAATTGGCAAGGTGAGGAAGCTGTGGCTTGTTCTGCTTCTCTGATCTTCCAGCGTTCACCCCAATAACTGGCCTCAGGTTTGTTTTTATTAATAAAATCTTTTAAGATTCATGCAACACAAGGTCATTGGGTGCACATGCTGGCCAGGAGTACATGGCTCCATATCTTTTAACGTCCTGAGGTAGGTTTGCCCTGTGGATTCAGAGAAGGTGACCCTGAAGTACAAATGGCCCTAGAAGGAGCATGTCATGACTGGAATACTGTGGCTGTCACTGGTGGGTTTAGGGGGATGTGTGGTCATTAGAAGAAATACCCTGGCATGTCTGCAAAAGGTCCCAATCTTGTGATAGTATCTTTCTGAAGCCACAATTTTCACTAACAAAGAAGCAGGCTGTTTAATTTCTGCTGATAGGTGTGAATGTGTCCCCCAGGTCCTCTCCCTTACTCCGTCATATTTAGTGTATTCAGAAAACAATATGGAGCCTATGGAACCTGAAGACCTGGTTACTTGTCTCTGTGTGCCAGGAAACTGGAGGTTTTTAATTATACTTTGTGCTTTTGCTTTAAAGCTGTGGTGGACATTCTTCCAGTCCCTCCCAAGCCTACATGTCGCTCAGCTCTAGGAGGGCTGCAGATTAGCCTCCATGTTCGTTAACTAAAGCTAGCTCACTCCAAAACTCAGCATGATGACTGCCTATGAGGTACCGCGGACTTTCTGGGGTTAAGACTGGCTGAAATAAGGCTGCTAACTAATCTGTGAGAGCCGGCAGCATTCACAAGACAATGACTCCTGTCATCCTCAGGCCCATGTGTCTGGGGCAGCGAAGGTGTCATGTGTGGAGTGGTGAGGTGACTGAAGGTGATGACATTAAGATGTCTCCCAAGCATCCATTCCTTGAAACATCTCTGTCTTGTGCCTTGTGCCTGTGGGGACCTGGGAAGCCCTGGGTGAACGTGTGTTGTTGACATGGGCGTGGGCATGTCAAGGACACTAATGCCTTGAGCCTCCAGGTGAGGCTTAGAGGTGCCGTGACACCTTCCTCTGGTCCAAGTACAAGTGTTTAGGAATGACTGACTAGTGTGCACAAAAACTAGCCATCCCAGGTTTTTGCTC